AGTAAGTAAGTTAGTAAGTAAGTAAGTAAGTAAGTTAGGAAGTAAGTAATTTTTTTACCGCAGGGGAGGACATCCATCACACAGTAATCTCGTGTGTGGGAAATTAACGTCTCCTACCCCAACCCTGCAGGAGACGGGACCTCCATTTATTCGTCCCTATCCGAGAAGACTAGAATATCTAACCATTTCTTGATGTTATAGAAAGGTAGCAAATTCTTCTCAATTATTTTAAGACCCTGAGTGTTGGTCCGGCCGGGGCTCGAACCCTAGACCTCCTGCACAACAGTCCAGCGCTCTATCCATTGATCTAACTGGGAGGTTAGCTCAATGGATAGAGTTCAAACAAAATATGAATTTTTATCTGTACAAAAAAACTCTCATTCGTATTTTTTGGACTTCATATAAGAAATTTCAAGCAACTTTTCGATTTAAGAAATTTCAAACCACTTACATAATAGGAACATAGCTCTAACAATTGCGTGACACATAAGTCACGCAGTGACAACCATGTCTACTTATTTCTTCAAAATGGATGCTTTCGAAGTAAACAAAAACAACTTCTTTCGTATTGCAAGTACGTTGAAGACGTCATTTATAACATTCAAGCAACTGGAAATGATAAACAAAGTAGATCTTTTCTCTTATGTCGCCGACTTTACAGAAGAGCCAAATTTCTACGAATTTAAAGCCCTCGTATGCATAACAGCACAAAAACCCCAGAAAAACAACTCTACAAACGGTAAGTTTATCATTTTTTCTTCTCATAGTTCAAATATTAAGCGTTTATTTCACTTAGCACATATAAAATAATTTTTCGAAGCTACCCTACTTTTCACACGACACTTAAGTAAATAGATAGAAAAATCCGTATTTTATTTCAAATTTAAATAGTGATTCTACTTTTTGTGAAAACATAGTTGAGATATTTTTCTAGAAGTCTGTGGAATAGGTAAGTTGTTCACTACTTTTACAAGTACAAACGAGGCTTCCAAAAATGGGCTAAATTCGACCTTCGAATGACGCTAATTATGCGTAAATTGAGTTTTATCAATTTCTCAAAAACAAAAGAATTTTTCAGCAAACTATATTTGTCTTGGTTTATTTCACCTATAGGCCTACCTAATACAAGATTATGAGCCAATTAGATTTTTTGACTGTTGCCGGTGATTTGTGAATTTGTCTGATCTTTAGTGACATCTACTAATCGTTTCTTTTTAGGTCACAAGTCAACTTCGAGTCAGCTGGAGAAATGGCAACATTTCGTTTCATTAAAACAGCAATGGCTCATAAACTGAAGCTGGTATTAAACCCTGATTGAAAAAAAAAAAGCTTTAATTTTTTTTACATCGATCATTTACTTTCTCGGCTCCTTTAAAGTTGCTGACCTTTTTTCTGTCTGTTTTCTGGAGCTCTTTGTTTTTCTTTCTCACGTTCCTCTTCGCTAGATATTCTCCTCTTTACATGAGCCTTTAAATGTTCTCTCATACGTTCCTCTTGCAATGTTTCTACCTTCTTTTTTTTAGGTACTTTCTCTTCCTCCTTCGGATTTTCCGACTCCCTCTCACATTTTACTTCTTTTTCTTCTCTATTTTGTTATCCATTAGCCCACGCGAGGCCCTAGTGTAATGCCTGAACGTATGCTTGCAGTACGCTGCACAGAGGCTCGATAATGGACTCCGTGCACTTCATCAATGCAACTTGTATCTAAGTTTTCTAACGTATTCAATTGGGATTTCCAAGCTACGCACGTAATTACGCATGTGTATTTCTCCATTTCCCTTCTACTTACGTAATGATTAGATATCAGTCCGCAATGCAGCTTTCCGCAGTGCTAAAATTAGCAGATTGTAGGTTTGGTCACACGGTTATACCCCACCGAGTTTTCTCGGCTTGATAGATTACTGTTATTACTGTTCTTTCTTCTAATTTTGATAAGTATGGGGCTGATAATGTTGCTGAGTCTGACAATCCCACACGTCCACTTGTAATGCATTCCGACTTTCCTGGTGCATAATTTCTCTTCAGTATCAACGGGTATCTAAACTTCAACCCAAAGTCAGTGTCAACAACTCTACCAACAGTGCATTTTAAAGGGGCTCGGGAAAGCATGGTTTTTACCCTACTTGAGAGGTAAGAACAAAATGTGTGCGATCGACCCTCACCAATATTCCAATGGTAGCTACCGCTGATCAGAAGAAGAGGCTCTGGACAATAAGAAAATTAGAAGCTTCTACGCACGATGGAGGATCTTTCCGATTTTGATGTTCACATTAGCCAATCTTCGGTTATTCTTTGTAATTTACTATAAAAATTGATCGCCTATTTTGACTGTTGACTCCTCTCCCCCCTCCTCATCTTTCCATTAATAATCTGAACTTTTGCACTGAAGCAATTTCTAAAATACATCTCCAAGAAAAGCCATATATGAAAGTAGACAACAAGAGATAACATATCAAATCTAAGAAGCAGAAAACCTAGCGTTAATAAATTATTCGAGAGATTTCTGTAGACGTGGTCAGTTATTCATCATTTTCTTTTTCCTTGTGCTGAATGAAGACCTAGATACCAATGATTTTTTGTCAAATATTTTCGCAATAATTAATCTTTGTTACAAACGAGAAATACAAACATGATTTGTCCTACCGAATGAATGTCAAAGTTAACCGCTAAACAAAATTGAAGGCTCAAAGTGATCAAAGATGGCGGATGTCCCTTATATTTACATCAGTTTTTAGGGCATCAAATAATCTTTTTTTGCCATCACCACATATCATGGAAGTTGAAGAGTATCTCGCGTATAGGACTAATAAGTTTGATCGATCTTTCCAAGGGTCTCACTCCGTTAAACATTTCAACTGGACAACAGAGCAAATCGGACCTGGTACATTAATATTGTTGACACGATGGCTGATCTGACAAATGCTATGAAACCAATATTTGCAACTGAGGCACCTCAGATTTCTTTCATCAAAAATTTCAACTACATGCGCCCTTGATGTTCGACTTCATCATCAACTGATTTATTTACTCGAGAATGTTCCAAATATGGCTGTGGAAAAAGTTCCCAAAAAAGGTTCAATTTGCGCTATTCAAAGATTCTCACTTCGTTCAGGTGTAAACGACACTCATGTAAATTTCAAGTTATTTCAAGTTAGTTAAACAGGTCAAACAGAGATGTGGTTTACTGAATTTTGATGAGACAACAAAAGTGGTTGGTTAGATGTAAATTTCAAGCCAGCATGGATAATGAAATCGCCTGCCCAGCAAATGTATTAGAAGTCAAGTAATGGCTTTCACTACCCATGTAGGAATTATGATCAGAAGTGATTGATCGTCGGAGATATTGGGCCCTAAAATACCTATTTTTGGACTTTGTCAAAACCAGAAAAGAAAGAGAGAAAAGGGAGGAAATGAAATGGAAAAATTAAAACAGCTCGATATTCTTGAGGTCTGATAGATATATAACATAATCTATTTGATTGAATTTGCAAATGCTTTTTCCGTTTGTCACAGCAGCAATGCAAAGTTAGCTAATTAATTATGAAAAATGCGGGAAACGGGATTTTTTTTCCAGGGGGAATCCATCTGTCCCAGCTGGGAATGAATTAGTTTGACTATCCATTTTCATGCATTTGTTAACTCAAATTATTTAGCATTTGTGCAAAGTCTGAGCCAAATCGGTGATCTAAGCATTCTAACCACCGCCTGGTTCTTCCATGTTTTGTGGTGGACACACTATCAAGAAGTTTACACCCTTATAATAAGGGTTATCCGATATTCATTATTTCTGAGTCAAAAGTTTCTGTTTCGGCCTCTTTCAGACCTTAAAGGGTTTGAATACAGCTGGACATTTTGTTTTCCGAACTATTTCTTTTATCATGATTTTGCTTTGCTTGCAAAGGCACGGGATCGTAGTTTATTCGGCTCTAAGCTATTATGTGCAGGAAGTTTTTGGAAATCCCAGAACAGTTTAACCACTTACGGACTATTAGTGCCTTGAGCCGGGATAGGAAAGTCACACTTTCAGATTCGGGTGAAAGCGATTTGAGCCTAGTCGAGCAGATCTCAGGGGCTACCAGAGCTGCTATCATTTATTATTGCACTATTCAATTTTATTTTTGCGTATCAGCTTTATACAACATGTACCATTTAGCAAAGCTTTAGACTATCGGGTATTTTGTACAAAGCCTGCGGTGAATCACATTAATGATATAGTTTTTGCACATAAATGGTTTGCAAAGTAAATAGCAGACGACAAACATTTTTACATTACTTTTCGAAGTTTGAATGACAAATGACAGCTGCCAATTCCAAGGAAACATCTGAACAATAAACGTCAGCAGGATAGGAAGTATGCGAGCATTACGGAATCGTTTGGCAATGCCGCTGTCAGATCAAATGAATCTCTTCAGAAATATTTACATAGATCATGGACAAAGAGACAACTATATGATTGAAAAAAAAAAGTTCTTTAGCTTTCAATGGAGCAATCAAATTTAAACTTTCAGATTTCGTTCAATGTTCTATGCGAGAGTAGCTAGTGTGACTTCTCTTAGTTCATCTGACGACATACTTTGAACGTTCCACGATTGCCCACGCAATGGACAGAGACAGGAATTAACGCAGCACTTGGAAGGGGAACAACCAAATAAACTATTTAGGCCTTCCCGGTAATTACCACTGAAAATAAAACAGATACATGGGTTGATGGCACAATTCGCGTAAGCCATGAATGTGGCAAAGAAAGCAAAATGTTGTATGCCGCAGCTTGGCTGAGGTGGTTGGCGCCATACAAAAAAGTTCAAAAACGCAAAAATGTTGAACGGAGCCCAACACAATGCAAATCCCATAACGATGGCCAGGACCATTTGAAGCACGCTTCGGTCTCTCTTCAATCGTTTTTCAAGTTCTTTTGCGCTCACTGATTCCCCTCCTGGTATTTTTTGAGCTCTGAGCTTTAGGATGATGATGGAATAAAGTATTGACATCAACGCAAAAGGAATCACCGCCAATATTAGAAACATTGCTACGTAGTAACTCGCTTTAGAAGATGATTCTCCGAAGGCTTCCTTCCACTTCAGAGCACATTGAAGTTGTCCTTTCGAGTTGTTGCTAAGTTTGCGGACAAAGAAATATGGGGAATGGAGAGCCATGGCAACAATCCACGTCGACATTATAAAATACGGGCAAAGCTTGGCTCTGACAATTGGGGGACGGAGAGGAAAAACTACCGCTCCAAATCGATCAACTGCTATTAAGACCAATGATTGTATAGATACAGCGTTGGAGACGTCTTGCAAGAAGTACGCCAGTTTACAAAGCGCCGAACCAAAAGGCCCATCTATGAACCAGTAGCCGAGGTACAATTGTGTGAGAATCCGCGGGACAGCAAATATTGGAACAATAAGGTCGGACATTGCCATGTTGACGATGAGGTAGTTGATGGTTCTCCTCATGGATTTTATTTTGAACACGATTGATCCAATAAGAATATTTCCAGTGAGAGATGCAACGATAATCACACAGTACGCTAAGGTTTTAGCCACTCTTTCTGCTGTGGGATAGTGTGAGCAATTGATGGCTGACGCGGTACCGTTCGCTGTAGCGTTATTGCTCATCTTGACTGGCCACTTGCTGTAAATTACGATTCGGTATTCAAGTTCAAGAACGCCGACCGACTGCGCCCGTAAAGGTTGAAAGACATGTGGCACGCGAGCAACCAAAAAAGAAACGCTCTGTTTGGTTTTCTAAATGTTTACCAACCAAAGTCAATATTTTTGTCCGCTCATGTCGAAAAATTTCAGATGAAAATGAGATCGTGTTTAAACTTGTATGTGATGGGAGATTACATTCTAGTAAGACATTAACGATCAAAAACGATAAGCAGCAAAAAGAGCCGAGAATACTGTTCTAAATCTCTAAGCCCTAGTTTCTACTGTTCTCCCACGCATTGTTTCTTTCCCCATGAAATTTTCAAGAAGCATTTTGGAGAATTTGCATACAGTACTCTTGTTTTCTCTCCGAGAGGTGCGTAACCACAGGTACATTTTAAACTATGTTTGCATAAGGTCGCTTCTCTTTAATTGGTTTGACAAGGAGGTAGGGGCCTTTTGTTCCTAAAGTTTACAAAAAAGATATGGATAAGCTATTGCTTGCGTTAAATTAAAATAAAGCAAGTGCATACAATGACGATTTACGTAAATTCAAGAAAGGCAGGTCGATTTTGTTGACACTCTCACCTAGTAGTTTGAAATTACTGGTGAATGTGTGTCATTAGCGTAAATACTTTAAATATGTTTACTGCCACAAAGAATCGTTCCTGTCAACTTAAATAAATTCCTTCCAGATATTCCACCTCTTGATTACCCGAATTCTTAAGCAAATCGTTCCCGTGAAAGGAAAATTCATTAACATGCACTTCCTTCAAAGTAATCGACCGGCGGATACACGTAAGTGACATCGAACGTACTGTACACTTTCTCTACCTTTTGTTCATTTTTGTAGTCATCTTTAGTGGGTTCTAAAGAAATTAAAACGAAATTTAGAAATCGATGTCAACCAGTTTTCTTCCTGAAACGTTTTTATTTTTATTTTTTGCCAATTGTCATCCTTAAAGTAAACGTGTTTTAATTGGGTCAACGCTAACTTAATGAAGACAACGTGCTGCATTTGTGGATGAAATTCTAGAATTTTCTGCTGAAACTATGACGTTTACTTTGGATACTTTTAAAAGAGTCCTATTTATCAGAAGTTGCTTTTCGAATGGAAAGCTGATTTAAAAGATTTATGCAAAAATTATATCAGCAAATACAAACAACCATAAAAGTTGACAATTTTAATTTATTCAAACTTTATTGATTGATTGGCATTCAAAGTAAATACCTTCATAAGCTCTATGTAAATAGAAACATAACATAGGAAAGATAAGCCCAGCTCGAACGTCAAACCTTATATGTCAAACCTAATTATCAGGTGACCTTGTCGAATCGAACGACAAAAGATAAACTTTGATTCGTACATGTTCGAGCCAAACGCATACATTAAGCATACAGTAGGTCTATTATTTTTCCCACAATTCTGTTCGTGTTTAGGTAGCTGACATCCTCAGTAGACAAAATTAAAAAAGAAAAAGAAAATTTTGTATAAGTAATCACATGATTTCGAGTGCAATTTGGAATAGATAAATTATTTCAAAGACTAACAAAGTTACACGAGCCCGTTGGGCGAGTGCAATTTGTGGTCTTTGAAAACATGTACAAGTGCTTATTTAGTCCAAATTGCACGAGAAAAATCATGTGATTACGAATTAATAATATACATGAAAAAATACTAGGCAGCTTATAATAATTATGCAGAAGAAAAGCCCGCGCATCACGTACAAAAATATTTTATTCATACCCTGCAAGTGACATTGTGCGTTTGGTCAAACAACCGCGTACGATCAAAACTATAGGATAAAATACAATTTTTACATCGTTAAGGCGCAGAAAAGTCCGACCAAACAGTTCAAGGAATCTTTCAGTGAGTTTGGTAATTCTGTGAGTTTCTTTGATTATTGACCGATCAGAGTGTCTGGTTTATTACTTCCTTTACACTGAATTAACCCTCTTATAAACTGAATTAACTCTCTTCTGCGCTGAATTACCTAAAACTGCATTTATCTTAAGCAATCAGAAATGAGTAATTTTTTCGTGCATATTATTATAAGTAGAATTGGATGAAAGAATTTGAACGATTTTTCAACTTTTCATGAAAAAATCAAAATAATGCAAAGAGGACAGGGAAACCAGGTCGGGAATCTGAGTGGTGATGATCTTATTTATATTATTGTGAACGGCATACTTATAGAAACACAGATTTGTGCTCATAAATACCAAGAATCAGAGACATGGAGAGCACCATGGAGAAATTTTGAACGAGGATTATAGCGAGGGCCTCTTCTTGAGGCAAACACTTCGATTTCTCTGTGAATCAAGTACAAAGCAAGTTTAAAAGTGTCCTTTTATGTAAGCAGGCAGCCCCAACGTAAAAAAAATGCAGCTGGAATAAAGGGATTTCAAGAAGATTAAAGGTTTGGCAAGTGGCACAACTTCTTTCGTAGAGTTTTGAAGACAAGGGAATCCTGGTAGGTGTCAGCCTAATTTGGCACTAGTGCACTCCGCTTCAAGTTCGCGTAGGGATGTGTCTGCAGAGAGCTTTGATGACGGTAAAGAAAGAAAGGAGTTATTTAGGAGATACCGAACTCAGCAATAACAGAGGAATTAACCCTTGTTTTAGAGGCTGTTTGAAACAGCCCTACCAAAGAACTGATTTCTCTCAGGGAAAGAAGAAATGGAAAAATACCAAGAGCATGAACGTAGATTATTTCAGTTTTTGCTCAGCCATAGTCCTAATGCTAGCCTCCATAAGCTCACTTTATACTGGAAATAAACACAATTCATACAATAGAAATCTCAGCGCTTACCCACGTTGGCGTAACACTGATCAGGGTCCTTGAAGTCATCCAGGTCCGAGTATGTCCGAATGATCATTTTCAGGCTCCTGTAATGCCAAACCCAATGAGACTAGTCCAAAGGAAATATGCTGGATTGTAAGTTTTACTAGTTGTTGTGTGTGTCTTAATGCAGTTATTGCGTTTTTTCCCTGCGAGTATTATAATTCTAAAAGATATTAAGGGAAAAATGTCAAATTAAGTATCATGGTAATAGGATGGAGTTCAGTCCGATCTGGTCTGTAATCACACGAGTATGATTTTATTATTAAAGACCACATTGGACGACACGAAGTCCTGTTGCCAATTAATCGCAACCATAACAATTGTCGTGAATCGAAACATTTGTTTGAGGAATTATCTCCGGCAGAGACATTGTCTAAAGTAAAATTCCCTCCATTCTGGAAATTCCCCAGATTTTTGAGTAAGAAGTTGTTTCTATGGTTGTCGTTATCAATTCTGTGATTTGTGGATTTAGCAGAGTGGACCCAGTATTAATGGCTGTTTTAACAGTCTGATCACTGCTGTCCGCCAAAGCCAACTATGCGATTACACTCTCCAGTTACAATTCTACAGAATAATTAGTGAAAATCTATATGCTTTATCAGGTTATAGAGACCGCATGTAACTAGTTATCATAAAAGCCTCCGGCTGGTGATAAATAAGCTTTCCTCGTGTTCTTCCTACATCCCGCGTGGCTTTATCGTGTTATAGAGCCAGCAAAAATGCGTTCTATCGCTTAATGTAACTGACTGTAGATACTCCAATGCTGTAGCAATAATCTCCGCGACCTAAACGATATAAGCAAAAGGTTACCCACAGTTCTTAGGAAATTGGTTCCTTTGTCGCTTTCTCTCTGGCGAGAAATGGGCCGATGCGATTTAAGAAGACTCGAAATGGTTTTTATGGCGGGGGATATTGGATCCAAACAAAAGCCCTTGAGCGACGATGACAAGTTGTAGACTTTTTTATCGGAAATCTTTACCACCCGCGTGGCTCTTTGAAGGCTCATTGAATTTTTTATAACAACAGAGTCTGTTCTTTACGAATTATCCAGGTTATTTAAAAGATATGTTCACTGTACGGTCTTCATCCCACAATTTGCGCGGAATTCATATCCTGGCCCTTCCCAACCAAAAACAATGACTTACAGTCTGCACTCTTTTTCATACTTAGCTAGCAAAATATGGAACTCTCTCCCAAACACTTACAAAACATTCAATTTTCTAAAATTTAAGCAGGCGATCCTCAGATGTGAAGCTTTTCCACAGTAGATCTACAAGTCATATTTCACTCTGCATGCATAATTTTCAACGTAGTTTATAAATAATATTGGAATTGTAATATGGCATATTTTATCTTATTTTAGCTTATTTTCTCGAGGTTATTAGCTTTACAGCTACTCTGTAAATTTCGAGCATAAATAAAGCATATGTATATCTGTATGTATGTAACAATCTTTAAGTTGGCTCGCAGATGGCGATTTGGCCGTTACAATTCTTCGAGATACTTAATGATACCAAATTTGGACTAAAAAGTCCTTTATAGACTTACTGCACAATCGATATTGACTCGAAATTACCAGCCTCTCCAAAACAATTTGGACTAGTCGTCAAGAATCTTCTCCAACAAAAGACTAATTTTCTCAAAGTTATATTCTTCCACGATCCATAAACTGAAAATCTTGCTTATAGTATGTTTTCATTTTACGCTTTGTAAGACGTCAAAGCCCTCAGAACTATTGTCTTCGCTCCTTTGGCGCAAATTCCAACTGAAAAATTGGTCATTTAAAGACCGACGACAGAGAGAAGGAATCATGACTTTATTCTTATTTGCGGACATCTCGCGGACTTGTCCTCGCGAAGATTAACCATTGAGTTAGCGGTTAAAAACGAATATCAAAGTGCGAGTCAAATCGCGTAAACAGGAAATAAAGCTGCTAAGTTGATGAGCTAGTCTCTCGAAAATTAACTTGGTGACCTGCCCTGATTCTCAGTGTACAAATGACATCCGTTTTACGAGTTCGTAATGACAATTAAAAAAAGTGGTCAATGTTTTCATACATCTTGTAACAGACTTTTCCTGAATAACTCAAGTTCTACTCGATAGTTTTTTCATATCATTACGAGTAAGGATAGAGAATTTGATGGGGTTTGAGAAATAAAAAGACAAATACTAGATTACCGACCTCGTTTTAAAGCTATCTTTCAAAAAATTAGTTATAGAGGGTCTTTTAGCCGCGCTGTACTGTTGTTATGGCAACAGATGAGGCCTACGACCCCCCTTAAAAAGATCGACAGTCCTGATATCCTTTATTGTTATCGGAAAACATATTCGAACCTCCCTATTGTGTACCTAAATGTCAATGAAGAAAGCCAAACTGTTTCCCTAGAACCTTGCCTCGGACTAGTTATTCCAAGCATTTTCCCACCATACAATGTTTCTGGACAAGAGCGAGACAGACATAGTAGTAATGTTTAGGCGCCACCTAAATCTATAATTATAAATGGCACTGACAAGAAGAAATCTGACGAGTTCTTTCCCGCATTTAAAGGTCTTATGTAATGCGATCGACACTGCGATCTGTTGAACGGCTGTCACTTTTTGTCATTTCAGCCCGAACTCTTTTCGAGTTGGACGCGTCGCCTACGGCGGGCCGAGAAAGAAATTTTAAGGAATTAAACTACATAGATAAGGCTTTAAGATGATGTATATTTTGAGTTGTAAATATATCACACTAGACCTTTTTAAAAGCCTCTAAGAGGAAATGTGGCCAGAAATCGAACATTTTCAAAATATGGTGGCAACAGTCAAAAAATCGATTCGGCTCATATTCTCAAGTTATGTAGGCCTTATGGTGAAACAAAGCACTGCATACTTCGTTTGGCTGAATATCGATTTATTTTCGAGAAAATCGACAAAAGCTGAATTT